ACACACACACACACACACACACACACACACACACACACACACACACACACCCTTGATGGCCAAAGACCCTACCAATACCAACCGGAGGGGGCAAGCCAACTATTTGAGTTCCTTGGCACCAAGCACGCCCAGGCAACCAGTGGGGATGGAACCCAGGATCTTCTGAATAGCACTTGTGTGCCTAACTAGCTAAAAGTTAGGCCGCTTGCTCCAGACGCAAAAGTCTGAAAATCTTTGAAAAACTTCAGTGAATTTCTGGAGAACAACTTTCAACAACATTCAACCACACCAGTGAAGCACCCAAAATCAATATTCTTTTGAATCTTTTCCTTTTCCAGTAGGGGGCAAAGGATGGGTGTGCCAAGGGGGTTAACCACAGGGGTCCTCATGGTTGTTATATGCAGACCGGTTTCTCAAAAGAAAAGACAACAGATTCTGGCAGTCATTCAAGGCGGAAGTTCAGAGAAAAAGAGTTGAAAAACTGTGAAAAAGAAAACTCTGCGTGGCTGGAAATTGCTTCAGAAACAACAATCCTGAGTTAACTCACAAAAGGGTGGTACACTTGTACCTATAAAGGAGAGTTTTTTCCCAGGTACATACGGGCCAAGGAAATCCTCCCACCCCTTTTTTACGGGCTCGTATGGGCAACAGAGTTGAAGGTACAATACGGCTGAAGCTTGAGGAATTTGCTGGCCATGTTTCCTCTCTCTCTCTCTCTCACACACACACACACAGAGGGATAGCATGAGGGTACGACACAGAGATGAATGCTGATTGAAGGCAACAGATGGCCGCCGAATAGTGAAAAATGTAATTATCACCTGAGTGTAATTTCTCTTCAATTCCGAATAATCCATTTTAGGATTCTGCGGAGGAGTGCTTCCACTGTCCACGTGCATTGCCCCACTGTTTTCGATAATCGGGAGCTTGATTTGGTTTAACTCGCATGTTTCGATAGCCTCAAGACGCCGTGCATTCAGTTGCTCGAGCTGAGCTTCCTGCACTTGCAGAAAATCGAAGTCGAGGATTACAGATTAGTCACACACTTCTCCGCGCATTGCCCATAGAGATGCAGCACTTTCTTTTCTCGGAAATATTTCCTGATATGGAAGCTGTCTCTGAAAGAAGAGGGAGACAGATCCTGACACAATTGAAATTCAAAAATAAATTTACTGCGGTGTTGATCCCCCGGCAGCTGCGACGGAGTCTTTCTGCCTGGGTATAGGCCCAAAAGGGCCCAGCTGGGTAATGTCCAGGCAAAGTGCCGGGCAGTCCCAGCACAAATCATTTAAAGAATTAAAAAAAAAAGTTATAAAACAACTCGGGAAAAAAGGGAAAAAAAATATGCCACGTCAAATTGCAATATACAAGCAACTTTTCTTCAAGGGGCTTTCTGAAATTCCTTACTAATTTGAAATTTCAAATTTCAAGATAAATCGATATGGAACGCTCTCACGTCTGTTCAGGGGCGGATGGTTTTCGAACACAAGTACATACCCCAGAACCCAGATTCTGTTCGTTTACTTTTTTGTCGTTTCAGCGGGCTCCAAAAGGCAAAAGATACAGGAATGTATATTTCCATGTTCCCGCAGAGTATTCAGTCTCGTTCTGCACATTTGAGGAGCACTGGAGCGAGGCTCCATCTGTCCATTGATGCGTGCCAACGGGCCTCGCTTCGCTACTCTCCAAATGTGCAGAACGAGACTGAATACTCTGCTGGAAAATGGAAAGATACAATCCAACATATTTTGTCTTCTGCGCACGTGGAGAGTAGCGGAGCGCCACGTGCTTGCTTTCTAACAGCCGGCGCTAGTAGAAACGATGAAAAAAGAAAACGAAGTTAACAAACACATCAGGCATATGCGCGGCCTGAATCTACATTCAGAAAAGGGCGGATGTTTCTTCTTTCCACATAGCATCCGCAGAGATTCCATATAGCGTCCCCATAGCATCCACAGAGCGTCCAAATGTATAGGATAGCATATGCATAGCATCTAGTATATGGACAAGGTTCACAGATTATGTATCTGCATAGTTGGTTTCCTTGGAATTAGAGGGAGGGCCTCAAAGAAGACAGGAGCAAGGATAAGATGGAGGAGAACAGGCTGTAGGGTAGGCAAAATGATGACCTACCTTGTCGCCTATCTGTCGCCTGAACCGGCTGCCCTCGTTCGTGTGCTGTGCAACCTTTTTCTTCAACTCGCTAATTTCACTCTCGATGGCATCTGCCTTCTGTTTTGTTTCTGCAAGGAGAAATTTACCAACACAACAAGGTTAGCTAATCGCAGCCAGAGAAAAAAGGGGTGAGATAACATGACCCCTAACTAGTAACCACTCAGTTTGATGAAGCTGCAACACAAACATCCCCCAGCTAAATGGCTGATGGCACGTAATCGACTTTCAGCTGAAACTTTCTCTCTCTCTCTCTCTCTCTCTCTCTCTCTCTCTCTCTCTCTCTCTCTCTCTCTCTCTCTATATATATATATATATATATATATCGTCAAATAGAACTGCCCGGTAAACCGTAGGCAGAGAGGGAGAAG